ATCATCTCCCACAATTTTTATTCTAAATATACAAAATTAAGAGAAACATACACTTATTTCCAGAGACACAGGCTATCCTTACTTTCACATTTATTTAATTGATGACTTTGATTACAGAACAACTCCTTTGACAAGGCAGGTTCTCAAATACTATGCGATTGATTTAGCTTCTGCTGAGGCATAGTTAGTTAAAAAACTTACTACCAAAACATACAAAACCCAGCCCTCCTCCCAGTAAAGTTTCAGGTTAAGACTAAGGAATAAAACCAGCAGTATAACCAGCACATGAGACAGCAGCCGTAGTTCCGTTTTCGTACAAAAGCAGCTCTGTGCTTCAGAAAAGTGCTATTTTTAGGTATTAATTTCTCAGAAGTAAAGCTTACAACTGCCACTAAACCTAAAATTGTATCTGCCAACTTATAAAACTAAATCCTTTTCCTGTTGAAGATTAGGGTTAAAACATGTGTCATGCCAGCATGTCTGAATCTCACACTACAAAAAATAAGTTGGTTAAAAATACTTACTAGATTTATAATCTAAACCTACAGCACGTTTCAAAGCTGAATCAGAGTTTTCACACTGCTGAATACAGCCTTTTCCTCAAAGCAGTCCCTAATACATGTAAATCTCTAAGATTAATCATGTTACACTTAAATTCAGGACCACTAACCCAATGTGCAAAGCGGATCAGTAAAAAGGACTTCTATTCTGGACGTAAAGGAAAAAAGATTCTTTTATGTCTACTGATGTATTTAAATAGCAAGGACTGACTGAGTTACATCAAAGGCAATGTATTCTTAAATACAGGTTTTGGTGAAGAGCCAACTAGAAAGTTTTCTAAAAAAATAATTTCAAAAAAGAATGGTCTGCACCAAACATTCCCACATAATGTTCTGAGTTCTGGGACAGTGAGGCTTGTTTAATTTATCTCAAACAAGAACTCAAACCAAAGCAGCTGTTCTTTTGTGCTGCTTTAATGGCACCAGACTACAAAAAATAGTTTGCTGAGTTGTCATAAGATTTGTGCATATCACAGTGTACCATCAGTTAAAAAAAACCCCAGTTATTCTCAGATGACACCTCAGGTGCCTAAGCACACAAGATGAGAGGCAAATCTATCCTTACACAGCATTCTTCTGAAGCAGACTTGGAAAAACATTTAGATACTAATTTCAAGATACCTTCTTAAAATTATTCTATTTTGAAGGCATGTCACAAAAACCACCTACCACATTTCAAGTTATTTTCAAGCTTTTTGGAAACTGCTGGTTTGGGGTTTTTTATTTTAGGAAACAAGGAGCACAGGAACCGAATTCACAGGATTTTAGTTTTTTTTTTAATACATCCTATTGCAGAGTTGACAGATGATACTCATAGTATGTGGCACCTGGGATACAGATGCATTGGTCATGCAACAAATCAATGAATGTATTTATTACAGAAAAAAAATGAAGAATTTTCTTAATGCACTGCAAAATAGCTTGTCTCCAAAGTCATCACTTAAGATAAAAACAGTAATAAAAGTAATAAAACACTTGATCTAATTAATAGCACCATGTAGTAGTTGAACCATTACAAATAAAGTTGGTCACTAATGAGGTGTTAAACTTGAGCTGCACTTCAGTTACAGAAAAACTATCTTGGTATGCCTTTGGGAGGCTGTGCTTTGTATCAAAACACCACTTTGGAAACTAAAAAAACCCCAAACATTTCCTGCTTCAGCTATAAGAGTGCTTCCATACAACACAGCTTGTGGAAAAATTGAATTCTTAAATAATTTCAACATGATGATGATGATGAAGTGTCACAGTACTCACTAGCCTTTCCTGTTTTTAAATTGTGCTTAGAAAGAGCAAGCTGGTATTTTCACTACTTCAGAAGTTTTATAATCAGAACAGATTATCAACTCTTACACCTGAAATTACTCTGATAACATATAAATATCACTACTCCTGCCTTTTCTGCTCCTTATTCCACCAAGAAATACTTGTTTTTTTCCTTTGTCCATAGTTACTAACTAGTAAAGTGTCAATCAGTAAGACTGAGAGGAATACCTTTTTCTTCTGGGACTTGGAGACACCAAGGATCCAATCCAAGAACCGAATATTTCCTGACATCCAGCCCTCTTGCCATGAGGGCCCTCTTGCAAATGACGGCTGATACTACGTGATATTCCAAACGCATTCACCAAAACAGTATAAACTCCAATCAAACTAGCACAGATTCAAGTCATTTAATCCTCCCCCTGCAAAAGCATCTTCACATTCATCTGATTACAATTTTAAGTCAAATTTAAGTTACTCACTAAATTTCTATCAAGTTCCCCGTCAACCGGAACGGTCTCCATGCTGAAAGGGCGTCTTGTCTGTCTGTCTGTCAGCTAGAGCTCTTCCATCCTGCTCCTTGAGATCCTGGAGGGGGAAAGAAAAATACAGTAAATCACTTCCAATGGCTGAAATCCATTAAAGAGCTACACTCTCTCTCCTCTATGTTTTAAGAGGGTAAATAGTCTCCTATTGTAAACTGTGTATATTACAGTTCCTTGTAATACATGCACATTACTCATAACAGTGAAGGGAGAGGATATGTTTCAAACAAAATGGCCAAAACAAAAGCTACTCACAGAGGCGTTTGCTTTTAACTACGCTTGCAACAAATAAGCAAGAGCTACGCTGAAAGAACCCGAGCTGAAAAAAAGAAGGAAAGAAACCCACAAGTTTTGCCTCATATTTCCCCTTGTTCCAGAGTCCCCAGTGGCACACCACTCCTGCCCTGCAGGCATGCACAGACAAGCTGTTTGGGAACATAAAAGCTATTCTGGAGCAGTGAGAGTTTAAGGCTTCCCAGCACAACTCCAGAAACAGCCACATTTTGTTTTCAGAAACAGAGACACAGAAATTAATCATCTGTGCAAACCAGCACCCTCTGTGGCAGAGCAGACACTCAGCTCACCACAGAAGGCCAGAGAGCAATGCCTTGTTCTTGAGATGTTTCCTGTTTAATTTTTTTCGCTAGAGAATGAATGCCACAATAAACCACACCACACTTGAAGTCACCGATGAGATGAGAAAACAGCCTGGAATCAAGCAAAACTTGGTGGAAAAAAAACCCCATGTCTTAACCGTTCATTCACTTCCTGGATCTGAGGAGGGAAGCAGATCAAGACAGGATGCCTGCAGAGATGCCCATCTACAGCCCATTAATCTGCTTCTCTGTTCAAAACAGCAAAGCCTGCACTCGGCTGGGAGAAAGCCCTGCAGTCTCTCCCTGCATGAGGCTGTGCTCACACTGCCCTTCCCTTCAGCTTTAATTGAACACAGAATTAAATTAACCCAAGGATAGATTTCTTTCTTTCTTTTTTTCTCTCTAGAGTGGAGTGAAGGGGCAGGAAGCAGCTAAGTTACAGGCCAGACTGCCAAACCAACACTTGTGTAAGAGCAGGGGACAGTAGCTTCTAGCAAAGAGAAAGTCACTTTTTTGGTAAAGCTATGGTGTTAGCATATTGTGCTTATGGTATACATCAACCTATGGCTTCAGATCGAGCTTTAGCAGAAACAGATTAACTGACAGGGGGGTGAACTGGGAGGTGGCATCACAGCACCTCCAGGGAACCTGAGGAGCATCCTGGGTACAGGAGGACAGGAGTAGGGCAAGGAGAGGACCAGGAGACTGCCTACAAGATCTTGCGGTTCAAAGCCTGCCTCAGGAAACACAGTCTCATGAAAACAAATCTCACTATAAAGAATGACTATTTGTTCAACTGCTTTTGATGTTGTTATTGTCATATTTTTTGATCTTGTACTATGTAGAGCACATTAGAATTAAAAACCCCTTAGGAAGAACATGCAGTATTAACACACTGTAGCAAGTTACCGTAACATATGCCACTAAAACACAAAAGGAAGCATTAATTAAAAGTTTATCAAAAAAGCCTGTGTGCTAAAGAAACTGCAAAGTTTATAGTTCCCTATGACTCAGTTCAAATTGCTGATGAGGATCTTACTCAAATACCTGAGGAATTACTGAGGTGGCAAGTAACTGGGAAGCGTCTGGCTAGGTGTTTTCATGCAGATTAGAAACAGTAGACACTGGAAGGTAGACAACTACGAGTGATTAATTTGCATTAATAAAATGAAAGAAAGAGGAATTCACCCCAGCAGCTCCATTTCCTGGCGCAGCAGAGACTGCAACGTGCACCTTCCACATGTCAGCGCAGGGATGCAGAATTGGGAAATGTCGCTTGGAGACTGCTCCTTGTCATTTCGCCCCCCCACACCCATTTTTGGTTCTATTATTAGCAGGCAATTCAGCAACACCAGGCTGCATTCATACTCAATTCACGAAAAGCCTAAACGCTCTTGAACAGGATGAAAATTGAGTGGCATTGCAAACAGACGTACACACTGATATTTAAAGTTAGCTTTTTTAGTTACACAAACTTGCAATCATATTCAGTTATCCAAATAAACAGATCTTTCCTGACACAGGAACATTCACCCTAAAATCTTTTGAACCCATCTCTATTTTTAACAGACATTTCTTAACTCATAATTTTGATTGTCAACACTCTTGGTGTATTCTGTTCGTCTGTTCAACATGAACACAGCCACTACATCCTTCCTCATCTCAGCCTGAGGAGTAGCATCACCTGACAGGTACCCTCATGTCCCATTTTTGGCAGCTGTGGTTCCCAGAAAATTCATAATGCAGCAGAGCCCCAAAGGCTGCAGAGAAGTTACCTGGGAGAGGGAGGGAGAAAATTCTGCCTGCTCATGTTTGAACAGATGTGCAGAGCAAAGCAGGTGCAGAAATGGTTAAGGACTACCTTCCTCCACGTTGTTTACCTTGTGAGCAGACAGCTTGGCTTATTTTTCTTGGCAAAATGAAGACTGAAAATGAGCAATATCGCTCTGAAATATGCCAAAATAAATACTAAGGAAAGAAAAGGGATCTCTCAGCAAAACAATACTGCCAAAAAGTCAAATCAGTATGAACTTGGAGAACAGATTTATTTTGAAAACTACATAATGTTTCCAACAATGCAAGCCCCCAGGCTCTCGAACAACTTTCTGATCAATGTAGGGAAGGGGAAATTATTTATTACTTTGTAAATGCAGGCAAGTTGTTATAGGGATGCTTCCATAAGTGAGTTCTTTTCTGCTTCAGCTAGATTAGATTTGAAGACACAACCCCAAATTTAAATCACCATCTTTTTAGCCTTTGGGGGACATTTATGACATGGCTTTGCTGCTCTCTCCACATTCACAAGTGCTTGCAATTTGGTTGTCTGCCTGGTTGGTTGGTTTGGGGCTTTAACAGATGTTCCTACTTCACAATCACAGCTCTTAACAGCTTAAATGTTCAGAAAGGCATACCCAAACTGAACTTATTTGAAAAGTATATGATGGCATCCTGGCTAATCACCTATTCTTCTACAGACAATGGACACAAACTGGCACTTCAGAAGGTATGGTTCATTTTAAAGCAGCTGGAACAAACAGACCAAATCATGCCACAGAATAAGGTATTTCTCTCCAACTGTGAAGAGGATCTATGAGGTGATCACTCATAAGTATATATTTAAAGCAGAAGAAAAATACATCCCACTTAACACATGAACAAGAACTTGTCCTGTTAACAACAGTATTACATCTTACTTTATTTTAACAGACTGCATCTGCTATTGGTAGTTTCTGTAAGTCTGCGGCAGTTTAAAATTAGGATAATCCTGCCTGGGTCTCTGATAAAAGCAAAGGGGAGCATGCATCAACAAAAGGGAAGTGATCACGTCACTGTACTTGGCACTGGTGAGGCCACACCTCAAATACTGTGTGCAGTGTTGGGTCGCTCACTACAAGAGGGACACTGAGGTGCTGGAGAGTGTCCAGAGAAGAGCAATAACACTGGTGAGGGGCCTGGAGCACAAGTCTTATGAGAAGCAGCTGAGGGAACTGGGGTTGTTTAGTCTGGAGAAAAGGAGGCTGAAGGGAGACCTTATCACTCTCTACAACTGCCTGAAAGGAGGTTGTAGTGAGGTGGGGAGCGGTTTCTTCTGCCAAGTAACAAGCAATAGGACAAGGGGAAATGGCCTCAAGTTGTGCCAGGGAGGTTTAGATTGGATATTAGGAAAAATTTCTTCACTGAAAGGGTTGTCAAGCATTGGAACAGGCTGCCCAGGAAAGTAGTGGAGTCACCATCCCTGGAGGTTTTCAAAAATAGGCAGATGTGGTGCCTAGGGACATGGTTTAGTGATGGACTTGGCACGGTTAGGTTTACAGTTGGACCGGATGTCTTCAAAGGTCTTTTTCAACCTAAATGATTCTATGATTTTATGAAGTTACATGATATTCTCTGAGGTAGTTGCACCGGACACAGCAAAAGCAGCAGACACCAGATGCCTTGGCTGTGTCCGAAGTCTCTGTGGTAGCATGCCTTTATTCACACCTTTACAGACAAGTGCATTTGGCACTGGTCTGTATTGACTTACATATTCCACATGTTAACCAGATTATATGAGCATTTATTGTAGGGATACATTCATTTAACTGAATGAAGTGGTTATTAGGAAAGACAAATCCTTTTTTCCTTCAGCATAAGAAAGGCTCCTCACCAAATGCAAAACCTGCTCGAGGCATATCAGTGGTTCTAACCCTGACTCACTAATACGTTATTGGAGGTATGTTGCCAACAGCAAAACCACAATTCAGTTCATAAAAGAACTCTCTTTCTTCGCCTTCTCCCACAAAAGATGAGCTTCTGTTCAAACACTTCACCACATTTGGAGAATTTCACCAAGAGTCTTGGCCTGGTCCCATGGCTGAGATGCTTTCTGTGCTACCTCCTGCATTCTCACTGCCTTCCACAACTTCCCGAATTTCAGCCAAGGTGCAGCCACAAAGTGAAAGTGGTAGAGATGACCCCTGAATCCAATACATTTTCCACTTAATCCATGGACCAAGCTACTTGAACACCTGCATAATCTATTATATAGGCAGGTTTTAGCTTTCTCCTTAAGTACTATCACCTACGGTCATTAGATATGGCATTTGCACTGTGATACGGTTTTGTGATCTGTTATAGTATCACAGTACCCTCTCACACTCCAGCATCACCTCATAGGCAAGGTATAGCCTCACCTCTGACTCGCTAACGTGCTGCATTGAGCACACAGTGAAATGGCTACTGTATGCTGATCTGGCCTTTCCAAAGGGGAAGCCTTCTCCAGGGCTCTGACCTCCAAATCTCACCTGCTAAGCTCTGCTGGATGCCTGTCTACTTTCCCTAACACCTAAAATAAGGTGACACACTTAAATTGCCCAAGACAGGTATCAGATAAGAGTATATTGT